CAGCTTCTTTATCAATCATAAATAAAACATGACCTGTTTTTTTATTATAAACAGCTTTAATTGAATCTATTTCATATCCTAAACCAGTTTCTAAAAGTAATGTTTCATTTCGAAATTCACCTGTATAAGGATTCATATACATCATAACAATATTTTGATTTATTGCTCCATGTTGCCATGTCACAAGTGCAATTTTAGTTTCAATATCATACGTCATTGTACAAAGGTTTTGAATATCTGGTAATAAACGAAATTCTGTAACAATATCTTTTTTTTTATCAATAAGATTTAGATCCATTTTAATAAAATATGCATTGAATGTTGCACTTTCTAAACGTGTTCGAACTTCAACAATCCAATTTTCTTCATAATCAAATATTGAACACCAAGCATAAGGATATGCATATTTTTTACCATTTTGTCTTGTATATTCTTTAATTGGATTTAATGTTGTAAGATTATATTCTTCTATAATAAGTGTAAATAGCTCATGATCACGTAAACCAAATAAACGTTCACGAAGTGGATCATAATGAAGAGAATGAAAAATTCCATTTTTTAAAGTCCATGAACTTTGTTGATAGGTGTTATTTTGCATATTATATGCTATTAAGAATAAACGTTGATAGGCGTTATTACATTGAATAGGAAAATATATTGTAGATAGACTATTATTTGTCACAGCAATAGGTCCAGATTCAAAATCATATAAATATGTTGCATTATCATCAATATAAAACGAGAAGTTTGCATAAAACCGAAATGTTGTTGATTGAGAATTATATGCATAGATACTTCCATATAGGGGAGGTTTGTCTCTATTAGAAATAAGTAAATGAAAGAAACATAGTTTGGTAGTTAAATATATTTACTGTCGAAATGGTTCTAGTGCATAGTAAATTGTTGCTGATGAAAAACTGATATATCCTACGAAGAGAAGTCCAACAGCTATCCAATGAATCGAGTACATAACGTTAAAATTTGCATAGAATGAGAAGTTTTTCTCTCTTTTGTTCTCGTGCTTATGGGTGTTCTTATCTCAATTGAAAAGATTTTGATAAAATTCTGCTTGTTTCATTCTTTGTTTGCAATGTTAATGATAAAAAAATAACATATATCATTGCTTTTCATTCGGTTGTTTCAAGCATTTTATCATACGGATCAGTAGTGACATCAAGGGTAGGCTATGCCCATCCAAAACTGTTAATTTGACAGAAAATTGATAATCTGTCATGGTTGTATTGCAACAAATCATTTTCTGAATTGTAGAGATTTTTGACCAGTTGTCAATTAATTGTCTACTGCAATCATGCCAAAATTACAATCTTTAGAAATGCATCTTGATAAACGTCTGACTATAGAGAATTTTTTATTTCTAATGGAAAGCCATGCACAGATGAAGCACGAATAGAATTGAAAATTATTATGTCATTTTGTTTATCATTATTTGAATTTTAAAACCTTTCTTCCTTGTCTCTGTTCTCTGATGATCAAACAACATTTCCAGATGATATCAATACGTCACATCATGATTCTTTTGTTCAACTAAAATTAACAACTTATTCAATAAATTATCAAAAAACTTTCATATCAGCCAAGCTGGTATCACAATAGAATATGGATGGAATATTTTGTACAAAATGATGCATGTTCTTGTTATCAATGGCGAATTCACAAACTCGATTCTGACCGTAAAATTCTTAATGAACCAAAAAATTTGAAAAATTTCACTACATCTTTTGATATGTTAACATTTTGGCGCCTGAGCCTCGTCTTAATGAATATTGCTGGCGTCGTCGCTCACATGCACATTATAAACATGCATTATTTTATTCATCAAACATCGAAATATCATATTTTACGTTGTTAAAGATTTATGAAAAGAAATGCGCCATTACGAAAAAACAACATAAACTGATACTTGAATGCAACTCACCGTGACCACGATCTGTTGTCATCAAGAAAAAAAAGCAAAACACAAGTTGTTTTTAAATCTATTCGAGATAGTATCGAAGTTTTCTGTGAAAAAGTAAAAACATAATTAAAGTCTACTTTCGATTACATCCTTTCTGTATTTTCTTTAGAGTTATTATTATGTTTTTTTTTGTACATCGAATCATTTATTTTGTTTCTTCCTTCGTGATTTGCTTTTCATAGATAGTCGAATACAGCTCACTATTAATCACATCGTTTGCTATTTTTTCTTTATTCTTTGGATGATTGCCAACATCAAGCACAATATCTTGTATCGACGCGTGGATGAGTAATTCTTTTTAACAAAAACAAAAATTATTTGTTGCTTTCTTTTAAAAAAAAATCCGTCGGTAAATTTCAAACATAAAGTAAAACATTTTAACATTATGGCACAAATACCAACTGTAGAATATGAAACCACTATTTTTAACTTAAAATCGGACAAAATTGGTCCCAATAAAGCTACATTATTACATGCTCGAACGACAAATAATAATAATAGTCATTTATATAAAGCAATTCTTTATCTACATGGATATATTGATTATTATTTTCAGTGAGTAATTTTGGTTGTTTTTTTGTGATATATATATTATTTTGATTACAGTGACCATGTTTGTATACGTTTCTTAGAACAAGGTTATGATTTTTATGCTCTTGATATGCGTAAATGTGGTCGATCGATAATTTCACCTGAACATGATCAATATAAACATTATTGTACTGATCTTCGTGAATATGATGAAGAAATTACACTTTCAATTGAACATATAATTAAAGAATCAAAGACTAAAACTAGAAAAATATTGCTTCTTGGACATTCAACTGGTAAGAAAAATAAAAAAGAAATGTAATTCATATTTTATATTAAGTTGTATAGGAGGTCTTATTGCTATTCAATATGCATGTTCTGGTTTAAGACATGCTGATATTGATGCTATTATTCTCACTAGTCCATATTTGGCTACAATAGAATCAACTCCAATTGAATCAGCACTTATACGTATTCTTATGAACCTACATAAATCTCAAGATGTAGATGCTGGTTGGTATGGTCGATCAATACATGTATCAGATAAAGGCGAATGGAATTTCGATTTAAATAAAAAACCAATAGATAAAGTTCGATTACATGGTTCATTTTTTTCTGCTGTACATAGAGTTCAACAAGATTTAGTGAAAAGACGAATTGCAGTAAAATGTCCAGTTTTATTTATGTGTTCAAATCGTTCGATGAGAGCAAACAAAACATGGCGTGATGAATATGCAGAAGGTATAAGACTTTTTTTGTTCTGTATTGAAATCAGTCGAATAGTGACTTCTGTAATTCTCACAATGAGTTCTAAAGCTAAGTTGTGAATGTTTCATAGATTTGGTTTCTCTCACTACTAAATAATTATTTTAATAGTAAAGAGTATGTTTTGCAAATCAGTTTATAACTTAATACATCAATGGAAAAAGCATTAAAAAGTGAACGAAATTCGTCTTATATCAATTAAGGGGGTTTTATTCAAAGTTTTGTCTATAGATAGTTTTAATCAATTTTTAGAATATTCTGAAAGTTTCAATCGAAAAGAATATTCTTTTGTCGATTTATTGAATTTTTAAGTAAACTCGATCTTTATGATATATCTGTGACAAAGGCCTATTTTTAGAAATTCAATATTTTGACGAAAGAATTTTAGGGTATTCTAAGAGTGTTTAGATCTATTTATAGACAAGATTTTGAATAAAAACTCTGTTATTTAATCTTCTAAGAAATGTTTAAAAATGAATCGAAAAATTCAGTAATCTGATCATCACGTAAAGACAAAGACCAACGGAGACAAACTATTGTAGACTTTTGCTATTCTCACTAAGATCTACCTGTAAGTTCAATATGAGTTTAAACATTGATGATCACTTGAGGTAATTCCCTCGTAAGGTGAATTTTGTCCACTTTTAATGCTCTTTTCATTGAAGCATTAGTTATAGACTGATTTGCAAAACATACTTTTCTACCATTAACATAATTATTTTATAGAAAACTACTATTTGAATTGTGTCAGCAAATAAATTTAAATCAAAATAATCCACAATATTTGTTCTTCAGTTTATATCTAATGAATAATTTATTTTCAGTTGATCTTATACTTGATGTAAAAGCTATGCGACGTGTTGCTGCTATGATTGGCTCGCATGTAACAGTTTATGAAATTGAAAATGCTATACATGATATTTTCTTATCGAAACAATCTGTTCGAGAAAAAGCATTTGATTTAATGTTTCGATGGCTTCAACATCTTGAACAAGATTGGACAATGACAACCAAACTGTAACAACCAATTTATGTCTTTTTTTTTGTTTGTATTATGACAAATAAATTCCAGTAAGCATACATATCGTCGTTTAATTTCGTGTACGAAAAAAGAATAGATTGATATTCTTTGATCTATCAAAGATCTTGTCTGTATGTATATGGTTTTTCAATATGAGTTTACAACATCACTGAGTGTCGCCAGGTCATAGAGATATCCATCACGACTCAAAAACTTCTGCGATAGTATTCAAAAGAAAATGTTTTGAATGTCACTGCTCTTGCTAATCCATAGGATTCACTCAGTCGTGGACATTGAAACTCCATGCTAATTACTACAGTTTTATAATATCCTTTATTAGTAATAGTAGGTAGATTGTGTTTCGCAATTTTTCACAGTTGAATTCTTTCAAATTATACATTAGTCTTTGTATATGATTTGGTAATGTATTTAAAACTCTCTTATTTGATTAAAATCTTTGTTTCATGATTGATATATGAAAATTTTTATTGTTAAAAAACCACCATCTGTTTGTTGCATGATCAAAACATAAACTCAAACGTGAACGAGAGTCGAACAAAATAATTTAAAAAAAAATTATAAACACAAATTAATCTAAAGTAAATAAAATGATTATCTAAATTGTGTCTCGCTAATGTTTCAATAAACACAACAAACAAAGGAAAAAAAGAAAACGAAAAGTTCTTTTTTTTTTCAAATCATGTTATTTTAATTATTACTTTCAATGTTTGAAAGTTTTGATTCATTTTCTTGTTTATCATCATCCATAGCATCATTTGTTGAATTACGACGATTCATTTTTTTATTTTCATTATCACTTGTATCACTTTCATCATCAGATTTACCACGTGATGATTTCTAAAATATCAATAGATTAAAAATATTTTTTTAAATAAAATTTTCTTACTCGTCGATCACTTTTCTTATCACCATCGTCATCATCATCATCATGGTCATGTCTTGATGATGATGAACTGTCTTTCGAATGATTAGATGTTTGATCATCATCAGTATCTTTATCTTGCGATGCTGATCGTGATGAACGACGTTTGGAATGATTATTCTTTTTATCATTTGGTGTTTTTGATTTTGTTCGACGACGTCCAGAACGTTTTTTATCACGATTACTACTTGAATCATCTGAATCACTTCGATCACGTGAACGACTTCTAAAGAAAATTTTATTGAAGATGATCATCATCAGTTATATTTTCTTTTTTAATAAATACTTATGTTTGCGTCGAGAACTACGTTCATGACTTGAATCATCACTACTATGTCGACGACGAGATGATCTAATCAAATATTTTGTTATTTATAATGACAAAGAAAAGCGAATAGTTTGATTTACTTTTTTTTTGAACGTTCTCGACTGCTGCTACGAGAGCGTGAACGACTAGGAGAAAAGAAAACTCGTTATTATTCAAAATAAGAAGGATGCATATTTTACCGATCATGTGAACGACGACGACGACGTCTAAAAAAATGTTATACTTCAATAATTATATTCATCGAAGAATATAACCTACCGTCGATCATCATCTCGACCACTGTCATAACTATCACGATAATCATCACTAGAACGATAATAACACAGAAATCAATCATTGTAGCTTTACTCTATTGTGAGTTCGTAATCTTAAGCAATTTATTCATGTTCTTTGCTCCTATCGTGTTCATTTTATGAGAGATTTATTAGCATCTTGTTTTTAGAGATCGTTCTGAAGAGTTTATCAACAAGTTTAGTCTTTCGATTGAGTGTACCGTTTCATACAAAGTATTTCAACTTCTCTTCTAGTATAGTTTTGAACTTCATTTTTTGTTTTTATTATTGTTTGCTCATTAAAATCGAATATATTTAGAAAACAAAAACTTTTGCAATAGCTTAGATTTTTGCTTGTTGTTGATGAAATGTGTTTATTTATTTAAAGAATTATTATTGAAAAACACAGATGAAGTGGATATTACGACTTCTTCCCAAACACACGACAAGCGCTAGTCTGAGACTAATATTTATAGTACTTTCTAATTGTGTTTCTGGAGAATCAAGTAACCTCTTGTGATTAGCAAAAGTAGTTACATAGTGTTTCATAATTTGATTCTGCAGGGATTGTGCTATTTAATAAAAAAATAAGCAGTATATTTGAAGAAGGAGGTTTTTTTCTAAATTTTTTCGTATTGGATGTTGGAGCTGTCTGCTAAATTCTAGGCCCTGAAAGGCTCTACTCATTGGAGATATATGTAGAGCACGCTAGTCATGTAATATAACAACATGAAAAAGAGTATTTCTTATCTTCAGAGTAATTATCCGATTCCGATTTCACAGGATCTGAACCTTGAATATGTTCGGTAAGCTGGATCTCTACTGGACTTTCAGAGGAGACAAACTAGAAATTCCGAATTTCACTTAAACATCCTATACAGATAACCCCCTTTTGATAGAGTTCAAATGTATAAAAATACTATTAATTGATTAATCTAGATAAATCTCGAAAACCGTTCGATTTCTACCCTACATTCAGAGTATGAAACACATCACTTACTCTCCACCATGATAACCACCATATGTTGGTGCATTACGAGGATATATTGAACGTGCTTTGGCATGTTCTACTCGTACGCGCTGTCCACATACCATACTAAATATCAATAATTTACATTGAATTTTCTTCGTTGTCTTCTTCTACTTACCGTCCATCCATATCTAAATATAATTTAAGTAAAAACTAAAAATGATGTATTTCAAGATAAACTTACTTCGAACAGCTGAAACAGCATCTTCACCATATTTAAAAAGTACAAATGCAAATCCTGGTGGATTGCTAGAATAGACGAAAAGTGAACAATACGTTTTTTTTTATTTTGCAGGAAAGGAAGATTTAGAAGAGAAGAAATGCATAAGAAGTTAAGATAACGACGCGTTCATAAACTTGTTGCGACGTATAGAAGAAGATAAAAAAAACGTAGTAGAAGTGTAGAATGATGCTGATGCTGCTGCTTTTTTTTGCCGACCAGCACAACTGAAAGATCGGAATTTTAAATAAACAATTTTCTCTTTCTCTTAGGTAATACATAATATTAGAAGAACGGTACTTATCATTACTTACCGTGCTACCCAGCAATCAATTACCGATCCATATCGTTCACATTCTTGTTTAAGATCAGATACATTTGTACGTGAACCCAAATTACCAATAAATACACGAAAACCACCTAGACAAAAAAAAATCATTAAAAAAGACACTTTTTGTATTCTTAGAAACCTTGTCTTGAATCATAAATCGCTTGGCTCATTGTCTTTTTAATTCTTAGATTAAATTTAAACACATTAATAAATAAATGTCATCCATTATTTTATTTCATTTAAGCAAAATCCTCTCTGATTATTACAATTAAATAAAAAACAACAGAACACATGTAGTTTCTTATGACATAGATGACGCTAAGCTATTGAGTAACCTTGTTTAATCGTTAACTGACTAAATATTGTCGTACTGTCTACATTATCAATTGAATTTTTTAGTACTCAACGATTCTTTTTAATTCTCTCTAATCAATATTTAAAAAAATATTTCATGCCTACCAAGATGTTAATCTCCAAGTCTATAAAATAATGCTTTATCGGTATATAATTTTAACATATTTTATCTTCTTGGATCTAATGATGTGATCCACAAAGGTCAATCGATTATTTTTTTTTAAATACTCGTTATTCCACTTTAATTTGCTGATGGTTCTATTTGTGCTTATTTACACTTTTTGACGAAATATATCTAAATATTTGAAAATTGAAGACTACATTTCTGGAACAAAGAATACAAAAAAAAACTGTAGTCTAGTTTAGTTTTAATCGCGTAATACTGTCCACTGCACAAAATAATTTAACTGGGAACAGCTCATGCTTTAAAATTTTCTGGATGCGCCACTGGATTAAGCATTCAATTTCTATATCACTGTTAACCTTGTGATATTTTTCACTCTATAAGATCTAATGTTACCAATGTTTGTTTATTTAAAAGAGTCAACTAGTTGGGAAAGCAATGCATTCTTCAGTAATTCACCACTTTCATAGGAAAAACAATTTTTTTTGTACTTTAAGCATATATACGATGAAACTAGTTATTCCTATGGTCTTAGCTGATGGTGGTTTTGATTTTATTAATGAATTTGATAAAATTCATAGAGCAATAGAACAAAAAACAATCTCTATTCCACCAAGAACGACGAACAAAAATCTTGAATCAAGAATTTCATGGTAGGCTAGTATAACAACAAAATTCAATTCACAATGAAGTATTTTGGCAGTAACTATTCCAACTTAGAGTCGATGGGATGATTTGCAAGACGATGCTGATTTAAATTTGATGCCAAGTTTTCTTCTACATTTTGACATGATTGTTACAATAGAATATACAGAGAATGAAAAACGAGATAAGGTATCCATGAAAAATCAAGCTCTCAATATTCAATTGTTTATCAAGACTGAATCAATACAATGAATGATCGTACAATAGTGAATGGACCATAATAATTAGCTAACTTGCACATTTCATTCATTAATAAGCTTTTTTCTCAAATGAACAACGAAAGATTATTTTCTCGAGAAAATTTTTCTTTTAAGAGTAGACACAATTATATTCGACGAAATTTAAACCATGCCGACACAATTGATTTGCTATTTTGTTAAGTTCCAATCGCAAAAAATTCTTCTAAATGACGAAGAATATTTTTCATTAGAGTGTGTATATCACAAGTCGACAGAAATTTAGAAAAGAATGTATATCCAATTTTGAAACTTAAGTGAAAGAGCTTCTTCATAGATAAACTTGATCTTTTTGAAACATACTCTTTCGTTTTGTTACCTCATTTTGATATTCATTTGATGTAAATCAAGTAAGTATCAGATTTGAGGTTTTCAAGTCCCGATTCACTCCGTCGTCTGTGTCGAATCACTAAGAGGCATCACACATAAGCTGCGACCAACGTTGTTCAATCGGTCTCACTGCTTTGACTGATACTTTCACAATAGATAGATCTAGTAAGCTTAGGA